TGTGTGTGTGTGTATGTACGTGTGGTATGGGCGATAGTTTCTCGATAATCAATAATTTAAGATTTAGATATAATGAACCATAAAGTAATTATTTAGAACTACTAATTCTTCATTTTCTAACGGCTTATCTTAAAATTAATTCATCGCTATTCAGATTTTCGCTTTTGCTGTTCACCCAGCTGTCCTAACAAGAATCTGCGAGCGTATATATATATATATATATATATATATATATACATATGTAGATTACTAAATCTGCACCATCCTCGGTGTCGTTAAAGCAACAAATAAAGCTCTTTCGAAAATCAATATCGCCATACCATTAGTGTAATGCGATTGTGCGGTATTAAATTAAATATCATTCTCCGCGCGTGTTTAACAAGTCAACATGAAGTAATTGCCAATTATCACTGAAAGCATAGTAATCAAATATTACAAGCAAGTGGCTTCTAATAGTAAGGAGAAAAAAATGTAGTAATTCGAAATAAAAGAAAGTTCGTCGGTGCGCAAATTTTTAATTTAAAATTCGATTCGTTCTCCGTAATCTTGTTCGAGCGCCGTTACTCTACATCAGGATATAAGAATTTTATATTCTTATTAGGCGACAGTAATCACACTTATTTAAGATAATTAAGTTAAATGAACGTGAATAAAAGTAAGGGAAAGAATCCGATCAATGATAATCTCCATTTTAACTCGGTGAGTCGACGCTCGATATTGTACAATTCCGAGTTATTGCTTGAAAAAAAAAAAGAAAAAAAATTACGAAGTACGCGACAAAAGCTCGCGCCGCGACAGGTTCGTTTAACGAAGCAGTGAGTCCTGTTTCCTGCCGATACACCCTGCTCGTCCAGACACGCAGATTGAAATTGGACGCAGTGACGCGAATTATTATAATCCCAACCTACTGCTATAACGGCAGCAGGGCCCGAGGGCATTTTTCGTGGTGCTCAGCTTGTATCGCGAAGTATGTAATATCGAATCCCGTCTCTCGTTCCTATCTACGACGCTGGATTTCTCTCTCGGGCTATCGTCCCCGGTTACACGTATATACGTGCACGTCGATATATCGACGCTTGCCCGACGTCCAGACGTGCCTTTAGGCGACGAGAAAAGGAGTCGAAATCGCCTGCGGAAAAGCTCATACGAAAATCCTATCCGATCAAATGATACGGAAAGAGCAATCACCGAATGCACGTCCGAGAATATTAGGCAGCCTAGTGGAAAAAGTCGTTTTATTATTACAAGACCACGTTATTGCGTGACTCATCGGTTATGTCGGATTAATTTAAGTAAAGATATTTATCCTTTTGCGGGGTTTACAGACAAACAAACTCCATCAACGCGATAAAATCAGCGCACCCACACCAGCCGCGCATCTGTTCTTCAACAGATACAAATTCTCTTCGCTCTTTCCTTTCTTTCTTTCTGGCTGCAATCTTGGATTGTCTCGTGCATCGAATCGCGCACGCCACATACGGAAACATAAATCTGACAGTCGTAGGAATCTATGAACAAAAGTGGAGCCACTTACATGCGCGTAAAGCAAAATTTATGAGAGGCGCGGGAATATAAATGCGCGACGTATCATAAATTCCCGTCTTGGACGCCGGGATATGTAAGAGAAACTAGAAAAGAATCAGAAGAAGAGAAAAGAGAGAAAGAGCGGCGTAAAGGTGGCTGCATGGAGGGGTGTAAAGAGGCAGAACGGAGATTTTCCCTCGCGCAATGGGTCCCGAAGGATACTAACGATACCGTTCAGAGCTTTCGTAGACTCCAGAGACACTTTAGATGTGCGAACTAAAGACTCTTGGAATTTTTTCATCGCTGATCTACGAATACTGAATATTTTCGCTAATTATAACTGTTTTGATAATAATGTGTTAATAATAATAATAATATTATATTATATTATATAAAATTATATTTTTCCATATATATTTATTGCCACATACTTCATCCTTCTGCATTTCTACTTATATATTTTTTAAAATTCAGATTCTGTCTTTTAGATAAGAACCCACTCGAATTAAGTTCAGAATCGATTACAAATTTCCTTAGCGTGCCGTTACGTGACGCAATTTTGTTCTGACGGCTTTCCATGAACCGTATAGAAAATCGAAAGCGTGCACGAGGGTGGTGGGCGAGGGGAGGGAGGGGGAGAGGTGCATGAACTTAATCGCGGCAGCGGGCCCACCCTCATCTTCGACCCCGTTCGATATCTTAACTACTTCGCCCAGCACGACCTGGCCCCGATTTAACCGACCGCGTGCGACACAGAGCGCTTCCCCGTCCCGTCCGTCTAACTTACGAGCTCTATCCTATCATCCCCGACGCCATTTGGACCGGCAACTTCGCGATGAGATGCATGGAAATCGAGCCAAGGCTTTAATAACACCGATAGCTGATAGCAGCCGCGCCCCCGATCGAACGTGAAAAAAAAACCGCCAACTCTCCGACGTCTCGAGAAAAAAGTCCACCCTATCTCCTTTATTGTTGGCCGTAATTCTCGTATCGCTTCTTCCCTTCTCCGGAAGCATCTTCGATTGTCGTGATAAAATCACTTAAAGTTGGTCATGTTTACAATATAAAACATCGCTTTTCATCGTCAAACTTCTTTATGAAATTCTTTATCTTGTATAATAATTTTAGGAATTGGATCTCAATTTTTACTACTGCAAATAAATTATTTACGCCAATTCGAAATATTTCGAAATGACGAAACAGACGGTCTATCAATCTTCGTTTTCAAATTACAGACACATATACTGTGTATTTGATTAAAGTTTCTAAGAGCAATTGTCTTGATTACCTTCAACCAAATTAATATTCACAGTGCAACCTATTCGTGAAGGTCGTTTCTTTTATATCAAAGTGGAAACTATATAATAATCAATTTCAAAACCACAATAATCGCAACGTGAACCAAGATCCTGATTTCGCGGTCGCTTCACTGCATATCTGATTTAATTGTTCGATATATGCGAGGAATGATTAAAACATCGTAAAACCGCCGAACTCTGAAATATACGGACACACACGCACACCTACGCGCTAGACCTCTACTCGATTTTCCATAAGGTCGTTGGATCGGCTGAGAACGGAATTGCATCACGTAACCACTCCCCTGATATTGCACCGCATACCCACGGATTCGATTAATTTTTTACGATCCTCCAATCAGAGGGACGAATGAAACCGTTTGAATTAACCGTTCTATTAGAAGCTTTTGGGTTTGGATCAATCGAAAGATACCATAACGTCTTACAATAAACGAGCATCTCACCAATTGCAAAGCAATTAGCAAAGCTAGTTATATGCTTCAAAAATTTCATTGTTTAATTGCTAGCATATCAAATAATAAAAACATATACTATTACAAGAATGTCCAAATAATTTATATAATAAAAATAGAAAACATTTATTAAATTATAAATTTGATAAAAAGCCATATTATTTACTTTGTTTTTAATTTTTAATATACACATCATTGTATAATTCAATAAATACCTTGATAAATTTATATTGTATTTAAATATTTATTTAAATACAATAAAATTAAGTAGAAAATATAAGATTTTTAAGCTTAATATTATTAAGCTTTTTTTGAATATTATATGTTAATAATCTGAATATTATTTAGGCATTGAAAATTACTTTAGCTTTTGTATAATATTATTTAAATAATATTGATTAGACATAAGTATAAATTTATAAAATAATCAAAATTTAAATTGTTTTATACTTATTGATAAAAAATTAAAGAAAGAATCTGCTGACAATTAAAAATAAATATAAAATATTTATGTAAATTGCATTTGCTATATTTTTATTCGGAAAGAAAAGAACCTATTAATGCCATCTAGCAAAGACGGAATATACTACATGGTAACACAGCTGTACTGGCTGTACTAAGCATGTGTTTATTCGACACGCAAAACGAAAAGAGATTTAGGTTAGCTATCCACAGGAAACACAAAATATATAGTGAATTTTGTGCAACTTATATAGAAAACATTTTGCAAAATTTAATAGGGAGTGAATACAGTGTTTATCTTTTAGGTAGATTTTAAATTAAATTGCAAACAATTTTCAATCATGGTGAAGAAACGAACCGGTAAGTTTCGCCTACAATATAATGTATGTTTTTAGATTACATTAAGATTAATTGAAAGATTTGTTCAGTTATTTTATATTAGAATATAACATTGTAATAAATATGTTTCAGAATTTGAGCAGAGCAAAGAGGAACGTATGGTAATGACAATAGGAGAGATTATACAGGAATTATTAAAGGCGCATCATGAAAATAGAGACATTGATCTAAACAAATTGAAAACACGAATTTCCTCAAAATATGGCTTGGATTCTTCTCCAAGATTAGTTGATATTATTGCAGCTGTGCCTAGTGACGCTAGGCATATACTTGTACCAAAATTAAAAGCAAAACCTGTCAGGACTGCTAGTGGAGTTAGTTTAATTTATGCTATTTATACTCATAATGGTTACAATATAAGATAAAAGTAATATAATTTAACTATTACAGATTGCTGTTGTAGCAGTAATGTGCAAGCCACACAGATGTCCACATATTAATATGACTGGAAATATCTGTGTTTATTGTCCTGGAGGACCAGACTCTGATTTTGAATATTCCACACAATCTTACACAGGATATGAACCTACATCAATGAGAGCGATACGTGCGAGATATAATCCTTTTTTACAAACTAGGCATCGCGTTGAGCAGGTATTTAAAATAATATTTTTACGATGGTATCTTAGAGATAATTTGCGATCTGTGTTTAATGCATGCAAAAATATGATTTTTAATATATACTATATTTTTAGTTAAAACAATTAGGACATAGTGTTGATAAAGTTGAGTTTATTGTTATGGGAGGTACCTTCATGTCTTTGCCAGATGACTATAGAGATTATTTCATAAGGAATTTACATGATGCACTCTCTGGTCATGTAAGCAGTAATGTTGACGAAGCGGTTAAGTATTCTGAACGCAGTCGTACAAAATGTATTGGTATTACTATTGAAACTCGACCTGATTATTGTCTTAAGAAGCATCTTTCAGATATGTTGCGCTATGGGTATGTTTGCTTTTAATATAATATGTGTAACTAATATATGCAACTAATAATATCTACAGTTAAATCAATCTAAAATCCAACAGATGCACGCGTTTAGAGATTGGTGTGCAGTCTATATACGAAGATGTAGCACGTGATACTAATAGAGGACATACAGTGCGTGCTGTATGTGAGAGTTTTCAACTAGCAAAAGATGCAGGATTTAAAGTGATAGCCCACATGATGCCTGATTTACCAAATGTTGACATTGAACGAGATATTTATCAGTTTAAAGTAATATTTCTATCTTGAACATTAAATTTATTTCATTATCTCATTCTCACTGATACTTATACTGACATAAATTTTTAGGAATTTTTCGAAAACCCTGCGTTTCGAGCAGATGGATTAAAAATTTATCCGACACTGGTCATACGCGGCACTGGCTTGTACGAATTATGGAAAACTGGAAGATACAAAAGCTATCCGCCAAGTGTACTCATTGATCTTATAGCTCGTATTCTGGCTTTAATACCACCATGGACACGTGTCTATCGCGTGCAGCGTGATATACCTATGCCGTTGGTGAGGTAAATATAACAGTATCAAAAGTGATATAGAATCCTTAATTTAAACAAAATTATAAAATGGAAAAAGACACTACTATGTACTTATATTTTTACATTTTCTCACATGTTGTTTACGAGATAATATAATAGTTCATAATAGTTCATAATAGATAAAAATATTTTCTTTTTTTATGCGAAAAAAAACAGTTCTGGTGTAGAACATGGGAATCTACGTGAATTAGCACTAGCCAGAATGAAGGATCTTGGTTTGGATTGTCGTGATGTTAGGACACGCGAAGTTGGAATTCAGGAAATACATAATAAAGTACAGCCTTATGAAGTGGAGCTTGTACGACGTGATTATGTAGCTAATGAAGGATGGGAAACGTTCTTAGCATATGAAGATCCAATGCAAGATATCCTAATTGGTTTACTCAGATTAAGAAAGTGTTCTGATAACACATTTAGGTATGATATTTGCACATTTTTAAATTTTAACAAATAAATTCTGTTGTAAAAAGAACTTATAATTAATGCCTTTATAATGTACAATTAATTTGTATCTTTAACAGACCAGAATTAAAGGGAAAGACTTCAATAGTAAGGGAGCTTCATGTTTATGGCAGTGTAGTGCCTGTTAACGCTCGTGATCCTACAAAATTTCAGCATCATGGCTTTGGCACTTTGCTGATGGAGGAAGCTGAACGAATTGCAAGAGAGGAACACAAATCTCATAAAATTGCTGTAATTTCAGGTATATTACATAAATCAAAAAATCAATATTCTCTATATTCAGTATTATAATTAATTTAAATTTTTTGAAATTAATATATTGAATAATAATAAATATTAATGATTTTTTTGCAGGTGTTGGCACACGTAATTATTATAGAAAATTAGGTTACGAACTTGATGGTCCATATATGTCTAAAATGCTTATATAACAAACTAATATAGTAAATTCCTTAAATTGTGTTAAATAAATGAATAAATTTAAATAAATAAAATTTTAAAAAAGTAAGATATTTTTATTACAATAATATAATATACTTTAAATTTTGAATTGAAATATATTAATACTTTAATACTTTAATTAGTATTTAAAAATTTTATTTGAGGATTGAGGATTAACATTTTATTCAAATAAAGTGACAAAATTGTAATTATACTTACTTAAAATAATTACTAATTACTTTAAAAAAAACATACAATGTATAAAAAAACAAATGAAGATAAATGATATTACTGTAAGAATCAAATTTAAATAAAATTAAAATTTATTATAATTCAAAAGGCAACTAAAAGAATAAAATCTAAATTAATTATATATTAATTGTAAAATGTTTTGATAGAAAAGATTAAACTAAATTGAAATATTTTATCGTAAAAGTACTAAATTTTTTAGCGTTAACAAGTGTTAGGCATGTTTTTGTAATTCTTCAAAATTATTGAAGTTTTTACAAGTATTATCTCAACTATGTATGATGCATGTTTCATCACAATTAAAATTGTTATAAAATATTTAATATACAAGACGTGTTTGTGAAATGTTCATATGCACAAAATGTCGTAACATTAAAAAATGGCGGACAGAATTTATTTGGATCTACAGCTATTCACATATTGGAAAACATATAATTAATATAAATTAATCATAGAATGACAATATGCACGTACCTGGCGACGTTGCGCATGCATCTGTTGCATCTACGAGGCATCTCTGGCGAGGAAATAACGAGGAATGTGGGAAGATGATTTTGATGGACATGCTACGGCGATTTGCGAACAACTACGAGCAGCGGATAGCCGATGCCGATGCCGGTACTACAATATTAGTGTGTAATAACAGTTGTATGCGGTGTTCACGATACAACAAGCACTTTATAAAACACACCCGATAACTTTTTGCGGATAAAATTCACTCTTAAACCGAAATAATTGCAAAAAACACGGAGCAATTCAATTTCACTTTTGTAATTTGTCGCGACGTTTTCATAACTGAGACAATTCGAAAGCGGTATTTTTGAAATAGCGGAACAGCCATCCAATCACATCACAGCATTTAAGTCATAGCACAATAAATATAAACTGCCACATCATTGGTCGCATTCAGTGGACTCAACAGTTGAGCAAAGTTACTAGATTTTCCGCTGAATAACGCTACTGATTTGTTGGCTGTAAAAGTAAGAGCCAATCACGTTCGATTGCTACTAAGCGGTTTGTTCCGCTGAATGCGCCTATCGTGAAATGCGTTCAGATTCGCCACCTAGGTGTATTTTTTAAAACTAGAAAAAGATTTAAATATTTAATTGGAAATAATTCAAGTAGTCAATTATATTTTAAAAAATATAATTAATATAATAAATTACAAAATAATGATATATGTTTCAAAATGCACTGGCAGTGTTGGTAACCTATCTTACGTAACATAAACTATAAATTTTCAGTACTGGCAGTGAATATTAAAATGCAACCACAGTAAAACCAATATTGGCTTAAAGTAGTAATGTTTATTTTAATTAACAATAATATAATGCTAATGTTTAAGTAAATTTATATTATTAAATAAGCATCTTATATTAATTTGATTAATATTAAAAAATACTCGTTATATATTATAATATATAAAGCAATTTTAGCAATGGTCAATTTTATTAGATTCGTCAAAGTGCATCAATATCCTCGAGTTTGAGAAACATGTTTTTATGAGTGACATAAATTAAAAATGATTCGAATTTTGCGCCAGTCAATATTAGGGAAACATAATTTGGTACAAGTGGCAGACATGTCATCTGACAGTAGCGCGCGACTTTCGAGGATATTGTTGCACTAGGTTAAGGCTGGTCGTTGCTGCCAGATGGCGTATGTTATCGGTCAGCCGCGCAAAAATTACTCTCCCTCTTTCCTCCTTGACAGTCGACGGGAGGCTGAGGATAAACAAAAGCAAGTCGGTTGCAACAGTGGTCACGAAAGCGGGTTTTGTCAGCAAACAGCATTACGCAGGTAACATACGTATGTACGTACAAGTTAGACACAGTACGCGAATCTGCATTTTCGTTCGTATAACGCTTGAATCCTTCGTTCTTTAACCGACTAGTGATGCGTGGCGCGTATCTCGGCCGATGAGATGTGGACGATGCGGAGCGAGATCATCAACGACGAAACGACAACGTAAATAAGGACGAGGTTGCCCAGGACCTTCGCCGGTTTCGGCAGTCGTTGAGCGGACTCCCGTGAAAGTGGATTATTTCAGTGTGGCGAACTAGGAAGTGGGCATTGTACGAAGGTAAGGATATTTTGCAATGGATACCTTGAGTCTCTCAAATTTTATCGTAAGCGCGATTCTTGTTAGTGCGTTACATATGTTAAGTACGTACCTAACATGGAAATGTAACTGATAAAATATGATAAATACGAAATTAGGTTATGTTTTTGCATGAACGTACTGGGGATAGAATCGTCTGTCGTTGTTCGATAATTGCGTCTTTGTGCACATATAAACAGGAAGCAGTTTCTACAATTAACGATTGTTATCTTTAAAATTACACTGCAATTGTGACTGACAGCACCTCTAATAATTAATACCTACCTGTTATCGCAGTATTACAAGAATTTCAAATAATTTTGCGCAAAAAAACTTCATTAGAGCAGATTCCTGCATAGCTTCAAATCTACCAAGATCAATAGACTCACACTTACGCATGTTATATCAAAATATACTAAAGTATAGAAAAAGTCTTTAGGAAGTTTTAGCTTTCAATATTTTTACTCAAGATAATTTATTATTTATAATAATAATAATATTATTATTATAAATAATATATAATAATAATATTATAATTTAAAAATTATAATAATATTATAATATAATAATATTATAACTATTATATTATTGATATTGACATTATTAATTACTGTTATTATCAGTTAATATTATTAATTATATTTGTTATTTTAAATTTTCACAAATTATTGTCGATTTTATTGAATACATTTACACGTATTTAAATTTGTTCTTGAGTGGATGTTGCACTCTAATCATTCCAAGTGCACGCATGTCCTACGTGCAATTCTCATCATCGGCGATTGCAATATGCAAAACGGCCAATCGTCGAGAAATCGCTATTCGTCCGACAGCCAATCGTGATCTACAAGAGCATTATATATTGTCGGTTCACTGCGACTATTATTAAGTTTGTCCTTAACGATCGTCGGGACTATTGCTTACGTGTATCATTAGCTGTCATCGCGCGAGTTGCATCGTGAAATTCGTTTCTTTTATATTGTGCCGCGTAACACAAGTGACAACTACGATAAAGCGAATGTCTTACCTTGTGTCTGTTGGCTTCATGAATCTGCACAGTGAAAGTCGGCCGAGATCAGCTCGACTTTAAGCCAACATTGATTTTCGGATACGTAGAAAGAAAGGAAACAGAAGAGGCATATCTTTGGTGAGTGGTTCTTCTTTGCATTCTCTAAATGCCGAAGGAAACTGTACAGAAAATTTTGTATTTATATTTAGTACAGAATACTATCATCACATCTTCAGTCCGAGATATGCACGCGATTTTCACATATAAGCTAAAAATTAGAATTGCATCTTGCTATATGCAAAAACGTAAAATTATACGTGTTCTATTATTTACAAAAATAGAGAGAAACAGAAAGCTTATTCTGAGATTATTATTTTTTTTAATAGTTAACATGCATTGAAATATAAACTTTGAAAACCTTTTAATTCTACATTTAAGAACATACATTTCTAAATATTAAAATGTGTGTATTTAATTTTATAAAAAATTGAATTATATTTTTGTTTGACACCACAATTTCCATTCGTGAGTTTCATTTTTTATTTGTTGTCGAAGTAGGTTAGCCGTCGGCAGTTTATATGCAGCTATTTACCATTTTATTAGTCACACGTCTGTTTACATATGATAAAATATTTGGCAGGCTGTTATATAATACGTCGTTGTTATTATGTTTATTTTATCTTTTGGCGCTGTTACTTGTCGTTAGCTGAATCGAAGATAAATATACATATATTGAATTAGTGTTACACTTTTATGCGTAAACAACTTTAATTTACGCGCTTAACATTTGAACGGTAGCTTATAAACATTTTAAAAGACCAACAACAATAACAAGAAACATCTATTTAGTTTCAAAATTTTTATATTAGCCAAGAAATTTGATGCAATTTGAATATTATAAAAGAGGGTTTTAATACTTTAAAGGTAATATTTATATCTTTTCCAAATAAGAGAGTTATAGCACTTGAAATTTAAGAGTATATGCTGTGAATGATTAAAAAACAGTATTATAATATATATAATTGCTTTCAAAATGATAAGATTAATTAATTGCAACATTTTGACAGTCAGTATTGCTCACATTATTTCTGTTTAAAAAATATATATTAAGTTTATCTCCTCGAAATTGAGTATGATAACACAATTGTAAAGTAAATATCACGATATAATGATAAATCTGACATATTTCACAGAAACGCCTTTCGATATTATGACTCAAGTTCGTCACGATAATATCATGGGTTTATAATAGTATTCCGAGGATCAGTAAATAATTGGAGTCTTAATGTTGAAAGAAGTATGTAAATGTCAAAATCGAGAAAAATTTTTGTAATTAATTTTTGTAAATTAGCACGAATTATTTCTCATTGCTTTTAACAATAATATTTTCAATAAGATTCTATAATCTATATTAATTGTATTTTTCATGTTCTTTAACTTTATCTTATTTTGAAAAATTTGATTTTTGATACATTCTTTTTAATAATTGAAGACTATATGTTGATTGTATAATTGTCCTATTCTACATTTGTATTGTCCTATTCTACATTTTCAGAGCAATTTTAAATTGTAAAGTGCTTATTATTTTGATACATTTATTCTTTTTATACTTGTGTTACTATTATATTTCCAGTCGTTAACGTTTTAAAAGTAAAATACGTCAATTTGCATCTTCAATCCGCAATGTGTAATATCCAAGTTTCAGTTAACAGCAAAATTCATATTCGTAATCTTAATTATACTAGATGGATTATAGTATGTTGTGTAAACAAAATCAGATAACAGTTTTTGTTCTTTGACTTCTTTTATTATATTAATAGATGCTATTATATACACAACTTTTTCTACTCAATGCTATTACTAGATTAAAGCTGACTGTATCAACAAAAGTATAAAAGGTGAAGCTATACTACCACTGCCCAATACAGTCAAAGTTCAAAATAAAATCGGAAATATGGATAAATAAATAAATTATTGACTGATCCTCATAATAATGCATTTTATTATCTTCTCGCACGTAAAATGAAATCAATACGGAAATGAAAGTGACTTTATCTTGTCGAGAATTGATTGATTTGATTTTTTTAATTTATTATGTTTCTGCAAACATAAAATTTTTTATTCTTATAACATTTGTTGAATATTATAATAATTTAATTATAATGAATTTAATTAATATTTTAAACATTTTTATACGCAACTCTATACGAAGATTTATTTTATATCTTTTATTATTAAAATTTATAATTATGAATATATATTTATCGATAACATACGACAGTTAATATCAACAATTGTTGAGCTAAAATATTAAACTACTATTGTGCTGAAAGTTTCAGTTCCAATTTCTTTTTCTGCAATTGTTGACAAAGTACGACGTTATGTAACTTCCTGTTTGATAGATTGATTTAAATCACCGCGAAGGCGAAGGTTACATTTTTGCGTCAATAACATAGTATCATTAGTGTTTAGCTTTTCATAATGTCATTGAATGAGTGCAATGTTAATTGATCTATAATCGATATAGTGATTCAATGTTACGTACGTATTCTATTCATTGTTACCGTTGGCATTTGCCAACAGGTTTTGCAGACGCACGTGATCAAGCGGGATTACAGTCTCGAGGTTTTCTCGGAACATTGCATTTTTATTCGCTTTTTCAGTAAGCTATTAATGCTAACCTTCTGACGATCCTATTCGTCTTTATCTCGTAATCGCAGATTCTGAGTGTATGACGACTGCATTAAGAGATGCGATTTATTCAATTTTTTACATTAAAACAAAATTTTTGAAGCATGTCAAAATATATGTTTTAAGATACGAGAAAATTCAACATTTTACTTACATTTATTATTAATGAAGCAGAATTAATAATTACTGTACAATTAAAGATGTATTTTCCGATTTCTAAAATATTTAAAATGATATAGAAAAAGCCTTGGAAAAATTGAAAAAAAATGTTTTTAAATTTTTAGCGATTATTTTTGCTTATTTCACTTTTCTACGTCGGCCAAATAGACAATTAAAAATAACGCTCCATACGCAGGATCCTGTGTATGGAGCGTAACAATACGCCATAAGTATGACACGCAATTATAAGTGAAAGAAACGGAAAGACCTTTCATAGTTCATTGATATGTATCGGTATTCTTTCATTCCGAGTAAAAATAGCTCCATTGCGAATACAAATGCGATCGTATAGTTAAACGAATCAATTATGCGCCGCCTGCATCCCATCGGCTTGTTGCTTCATCTTCGAAAGATCCAAAAGATAACGTGATGATAATATAAACACAATGAGTTGCCGCGGAGAGAGCATGCGATAACACAGATAGATCTGTTGTGCTTAAAACGAGCGTTTATCTAGAAATCGTTTTACGCCATTGTTTTTATATGCATACGTGACGTTTGAGAAATATCGAGTATGCTAAACAGGGACCGCGCGTTACCTGACAGCACGCAACCACTATTCGGCTGGTTCATTCGTCCCGTGGCGTCGCGGCGCTCTGATACGTCAGTCTATGTTTGCACGGCCGTCGGCGAAGACGACGAGCGACGTAAGCCAGTGCGTAACGCGGACGAGCGCGACTACGAAAACAACACGTTTTGCAAGTGCCGCGGCAAAACAACTTCAGTTTTAGATTGTGAAGAAGCTCGCCCGGGGCGCATTGACGTAATACTACTGGAAAAGTACAACAGTGATATACAATTAACATAAATCTAATTTTTCAACAACTTTTGATAATGACAGAAGTTTCGTTATCAAACTGGCTTTATTACTGTTAGACTGTACTAAACTGTAATGATGCTTTGGTAACGAAGGCTTTTTTTATCACCGTCGAAAGTCGTTAAGCGCGTCATTAAAGAAGTTGATAAGTGATTGCAAGAGCCGGTTGTGTTAGTTGTGTTTAAATTTTCAGTTAGATTTTTGCGTCACACACATTTTCGCAAAAATGCTAAAAGAATTCGGCATCGACGGCAAAATTTTGAGAGCTCTTGATTAGTTTCGTTAGGATTTCACGGCTATTGCATTTGCACAGTCCCGTGCAAATTGGTTTGCACGTTCTTGAAAACACTTCTATTGACATTCTTGGCGATATATACTCTTCGCCGCACTGCTCCACTTCTGGAGAACTCATAGCTATCTAACACAATCGACAGGAAGTGGTCCGACGAAGGAAAAGTACAACGCGTACACGATTATATTTAGTGAACTATAAAGAAAGTAAAATCTTTAATTCGAAAGATTTTTGACTGACTGATGACGCCAGAAATACGAGATAACTGAGTGTGTTAAAGTGTACAAAGTATCAACATGCAAATTTCTTTAATACGAGGCTATTAAATAATATTAATAGTCTATTAAAGTGAGGAAGATATTCGGGGTCAAGATGATAACCGTGCCGATATCAGCCTCGAGTCCCTACGTGAAGACTACGTCCTACAGTGATGCGAGCATAGTTGCTAAAAAGCCTTCGGTGAGTGCATCACCCTTCGTTGCATATGCAAGTGAGGTTTAGCTCTTTAACTAACAAGTTTGCGAAGCATTTTTTAAAAAACTGCAACCGTGTAATTTTTTATAAATTAAAATTAATATAAAGGGGAAAAAAGGTAGAATTTACATAAAATATCGATAATTTTGTCTACTGTTTCAAATATCGGTGAGTGGATGAAAAGTAAAAGGAAAATATTCCGCAAAAACATTTTAGCATTACGTAAATTTCGTAATTACATAAGCGTAACTAATAGGTAAGGATGTAACATAGTGCACATTCGTCATTGATGGTTTAGTGAAACTATGCGCTTTGGTGAATCATTAGTTCATACATATATATAAATGCTAAAATTATTTATGTAATTTTATTAACTATATTATCGCAATTCTAAAGCGATGCACAAACGAAAGAATTATTTATTACTATTTATCAAAAATTATTAAATAGCAATGGATCGATATCTAGAAAATTGATATTTAGCTTACAATTTGGAGAATTCTTGCATGAAAGCTCTCTTCTCTTCTATCTTTTTCTCTTATCTTTTTTTTTAATTTTTACAACGATAAGACTTATTTTATTTTATTGAAATAAGATATTGAAATGTGGGCACATTTAATCATATTATTTTATAAATAGAATGAAAAAGTCATATCGTAAGAATTTATAAAAAAGGTAAAAAAAAAGAGAAGAAAATAAAAATAAAATATAGAAGAAAAGAGCTCTCATGAATTTTCCAAAGTGTACGTGCATTCAAGAACGACAGAGATATTTTAAATATTAAAAGAATCGTTCTTGAGCGTACAAAGAATTTTAGGAGAAAAGTTATCACGAAGAAAATTTTGTTATTATCAAATTTATATTTCTTTTCATCGAACATTATCTTTTTTATGAATTGCAATTTTTATTTAAGTGTCACATTTTGTATATATCGTGCGTTGCCCATAATTTTTTAAAACTGAGTAAATATTACATAAGCGAAAACGAAAAACCTTTACTTATATCCTTCATTAAAGATGCCAAGGAATTTCGCCGTAATTGCGGACGACACGCGCGGCGAAGGGTTAATTAAAGCTAACTCGGTACCATCGAACGAAACGTGTCACTTCGATACTTCGCGATGAATAACGGCATTATCAATTTACCTCGTCGTGGCATACTTATTTTATCACTTTAATCTTACAGTAAAATTTGACATTGTTTATCTATGCTCTATATCTTTTTATGAGTCTCGTAAGTTAAATATGCGTCAAAATACGCATGATTTACATAAAAATATTCGCCACTTAAACTTTTTATTGACGAAGCCGTTCGCACTCATTACTCATCACATCATCACTCGTTGTTAAGCATCGACAATTACCGTTTTCAAGTGGCACTAAAAACCCATCCACTTTTCTCAGCTTACTTTAATTCCTAACTGTATGCTTTCTATGCTTATCGGAGTAGTGTTTAAAAATTGAAAAAAAATGCAATCAAAGATAATCTTAATTAAACCGTGCATATTTTATTCTCTAAATCTTTTTTTTTATTTTTATAGATATAAATTGTAACAATTTACGAATTTTTAATCTACGAGATTCGTGAAGAAAAATAAACATTTACTTTATCAAAATATTAAGAAAATTTCAGATTTCTATGAAAAGATTT